GTGGCGTAGCCAGAATTTTGTATTACGGAGGGTTTTAAAAAAAAATCGGAGTATTTAAAAAATATAATTTCAATATCGTCTGAGTTTGCGTTCTAAATTCTAATAGTATTTCAACTAATATCACATAAGAGAATAATAGAAAAGAACAAATTTAATAGAAAGTGCCTATGGTAATGATGATAATTTTGAAAGGCGTGTGTCATTCTTCTTAGTCCTCAGCTTTGCGCACATTGGAACCTTGAATATGTTGATGACATCGCCAATTTGAAGATTTTGCTTAGACGAACATCGTAAGTCGGTTTTCGACGACCATAAAGCAAGGTAAAAACTCTGACAACACTAGAGATATAACGGACCAGTCGTTGCAGAGTCATCTCCTCACATGAGTATGACAATAAAAGTGGAATATGATCTTAGAATTATGGAAAGAAAAATCACGAGAGCAATATTAGGACCAATTAGAATCACAGAATTAGAAGAAATTCGAGAGTTAAAAAATATAATGACAAAAATGAAACAATCCACAGTTAGATGATTGGGAAATGTTTGGAAAGCAGGAAATGGAACATTGGTTCATTCAATGTTACAATGGCCCTATTCTCGAATGTCTTATTAAAAATGTCGCATTCGTCATAATGTCTACTACTAATGTCTATCAAAATGTCGATCAACTGACACTATCTCAAAGACAAATAGACATTTTAAAATCGGTGACATATTTGGCGAATGGTAACATCTGACAACATTGGATAGAAACATACAATACGAGTATATTTCAGCAGATAATTACTTCAAGGATCCCTTAGTACTACAAAATAATACTGAAAATATATCCCGAATATATATCTTTTTGATAAATCTTTTTAACTGAAATTTCATGAGGGATTAAATAGAAAATTGGAAGTGCAATTTGGTAAGAGATTAAATAGAAAGAAGAAAAAATATATTATTATAATCTAAACACTATATAAAAGGATTGTGATATCTTTTTCCCTTCAATTTGAAAAATAGTAGAGCTATATAAATTTATTAATGATAGGGACTAAATATCTTGGACAGACAGGACTAATAATTGATAAATTAGGTGAAATTGTAATTAAATCAATTTTTTTTTTAAACAATTTATACAATTCTTATTTTCATTTCTCTTAAAAATGAACATATATTATCACTGTCACAACACTCATATTGTAACATTATCTTTAAAAAGGTTGTCGACTGGTTGAATACCACTCGACTGTATGTCTAAAGGTGCGTCCTCACCGAATCAACACTGTCGATCGACGTTATCGACTTTGTGTGTATGCGGCAATCAACGGTATCGATCGACAAAATAAATCGATCGACATGTCAATTTTTTTCCATCGCCTGTCGGTAAACATGAAAGAGCAGTCGATCGACTTTAGTGTGTGGACGTGTTTTCGACGTTCGACAAACTGTACTGAGTACTAAGTACTCAATAACGTCTTACCTTGTTGACGCATTGTAGTTGTGTTGTTGGAGAAATGGAATGGGAACAAGATGAAGTCATAGCCTTTATTGAGGCAAATAATCTGAGAACAAATCTATGGGATTCTAAAAACAAAAACTATAAGAGCAGAAACTTGGGATACGATTTCTTGTAATAAATATTTAAATTCACTTTCCGACATTCGAAAAAAAATCTAATTTTCTTTTGGGTGCAAGTTTTTTTTTAGTCGCGATAATAATATATGAGACACAAGCAACTATAATGTCATCTTCGTCAGACATGTTAATTTCAACTGATCGACAAACATTTCTGTCAACTCTGGTGTGGACAGTTTTGTAGACTTGTTGATCAACAATGTCGATCGACGTTGTCGACTTTGTGTGTACGCGGTAGTCGACGGTGTCGATCGATAAAATAAATCGATCGACATGGCGATTTGTTTTCCATCGCCTGTCGGTAAACATGAAAGAGTAGTCGATCAACTTTAGTATGTGGACGTGTTTTCGACATTCCAACTGTTAGTACTAAGTACTCAGTAACGTCTTGCCTTGTTGACATTGTAGTTGTTTTGTCGGAGAGAAATGGAATGGGAACACGATAAATTCATAGCCTTTATTGAGGCATACAAACTGAGAACAAATCTATGGGATTCTAAAATCAAAAACAGAAATTTGAGGCACGATGCCCTTATAGAAATTGCTAATGAATTTAACGTCGAATTTCGACTGATCGACAAACATTTCTGTCAACTCTGGTGTGGACAGATGCAGTTTTGTAGACTTGTTGATCAACAATGTCGATCGGCAGTGTTGATTCGTTAAGGACGCACCTTTACAGCAAATGTCGAATTCGCCATTGGAGAATACGTTTTTGCCCTCTTTTTCGACATATCATCAATGTCGCGTGTGACATTTAGAAACAGATATTCCATAATAGGGCTGGAGGGAGAATGAGACGTGAAAGACCCAGATCAGGATGGCCGAATATGAATAATTGGCAAGAAAAAGTACAGGAAGAGAATGGGATTGATCCACTAAAAAAATATGGATCTAGAAAGTGAATAGCGGCTTCGCTCAATTAAGAGCGTTTTTGGCCACTATATTATACAGGGTGCTTCATAAGGAATGGAAAATATTTTAACCATAGGTTCAGGATTTCAAAATATTAATATTTTGCTAAATAACACTGGATCAAATGTTAATTACTTCCGAGATATAGGGTATTATAGTTAAAATTTATTTTTTTTTGCATTATTTTCGTTACTATTTAACGCATTCACTTGAAAATTGGTATGGTTATATTTTTGGTCTAATAAATCATAGGCATGTTATCAATTTTGAAAAAGGACATAGAGGGCGCCACCTGCACTTTACTGAATGAAGTAAATTATTTTTTTTTTATTCTTAGCATTTCTAATTTTTTTATGGTACACTGGAACAAAAAAGGTATACTTGTTTTAATAGCATATTGCAAGACCTACTATTTTAAAATATTGCTAAGTAAATTAAATAGATACTGGGGCCACAAAATTTTAAATTTTTCTAAGGTAAAGTGGTTTTTCGAAGAATTTTCTGTAAAAACTAAAAGTTGACCTATTCGATGTTCCTCACAATCTAGCGTTGAAATTTTCCCGATGCCTCACACATTTTGCAGGAAAATAAGGGGGTTTTTTCCGGGAAACACCTATTTCTCTAATGAATTTTCCTACGGTAAAGTGGGTACATTCGGGCGAAATTTTTTGAGGATTCATGTCCGAAAATTTTAATTTTCCTTTTGACAAAATGAGTTTCCACATATTTTCCGGATGGACTAACTTTTTTTCGATAGTCGAATTGTCCCTTTCCTTTAGTTTGACAAAAATTGAGAACATATATTTTGTTATCCGAATTTTCCGATATTTCAGACAAATTTTCAGTAAAAATAAAAAATTCGCATATTCTAATCGAGGTTCCTCACAATCTGGCAATGAAATTTTTTTAATACATCAAATATATTTGGGAAAATTAGGGGAAAATTTGGGTTGAACGCTTTTCCGGGAAAAACTTTGTATAAAAAATGAGAAAGAGCAAAAAAATCTTAAGAAGTATTCGAGTCGACCGATGTATCAAATGACGGTTTTTATGACGGTGGAATCAAAAAAACCGCTACAAAACAAGAAAAATAAAAGTAGCTACGCAGTTTTCCAAACAAAGCAAATTTTAAAATGACACCCAGTCCTATTTGGTGGGGTGTTTTGCGACACAGGAACCTCCAAAACATGATAATCATTATATCCAGCTCGACATTCTGTGCCATATTAATACAGCAAAATAATCGATTAAAGGATTATTCGATTTTGGTTAATCGATTAAATGAAATAATTTAACGACCGATTTATCGAATAATCGATTTTAAAGGAAATACAAAAAAATACGAGAATACAAGGCGATTGCAAAAAAAATAATATTTCCTCAACCTAATAAAAATTACACCAAAATTTAAATTAATAGCAATCGAATATAAGATTAAAAATCAATTAAATGGTATCGATTAATCTAATGAACGATTATGCATTCGGAAATAATCAATTTAACTATTAAGTAATCGAAAATAATCGATTTTCTGAAAAATCAATTAACAGAAAATATTCGATTAATAAAAACTAATAGATAATTTTTGATTATTCTATAAATCCAGTGCAATTGCCAAAATAAATCGATTATTTTAAATTAATCGGCTAGTCCTAATAGGTACTATTGAGGTAATTAAAAATTTAAAAAACCGACTTTAAAAACGTGCAGATGCCGTCACCACGTCTTAACCAAATTTATATGGGACCACCCCTGAGGTACCCCCTTACTAACAAAAAAAGAATCATATAAATCGGACAAGGTGGTAAAGGTATTATCGCTAAACATACATAAAAAATGAAGAGTTTGAGGATTTTCTCATGGACCCAATTATTAGATTTTGACCAAATTTATATGGGACCACTCCAGAAGTAGTCCCTTTCTACCAAAAAAATAATTATTGAAATCGGACACCGTATTAAAGAATTATCGCTGAACATACATATAAATATAAAAAAAAAAAAAATCACGACGAATTGATAACCTCCTTTTTTGAAGTCGGTTAAAAATAATTATCATATCATTATGTAATTGAAAATAATCGATATTCTAAAAAATTGATAATTTAATTAATAAAAAAATATTGATCTCTTGACAGATCGAAAACAATCGAATAAGCGAAAATAATCGATTAATTGAATAATCAATGAACAGAAAATAATCGATTAATAAAAAAACGATAATTTTTCATTAATCGATTAATAGAGGGCGATCATAATAAATAATCGATTATACAGTAATAATCAATTTATCGATTATGTAATCGAAATTAATCGATATTCTGAAAAATTAATTACTTAAATAATAAAAAATATTGTATTTCTCGATTACTTGAAAACAATCGATTAGACGAAAATAATCGATTAATTGAATAATCAGTTAACAGAAAACAATCGATAATTTTTCATTATTCTATTAATCGAGTGCAACTGTCAATATAAATAATCGATTATTTTCTATTGATCGAGTGCAATTGTTAAAATAAATAATAAATTATTTTGTTTTGACAATCGGATAGCCCTAATAGCTACTATTGAGGTAAAAATAATGATCAAGTCCGATTATTCGGTAGTAATTAATTTAACGATTATTACTTAAAAATAATCGATTAATTAAATAACCAATTAACAGAAAATAATCGATAATTTAAAAAAAATCGATTAATCGAGGACGATTACCAAAATAAATAACCGATTAAAGGTAAAAATAATTATCATATTATTTATGCATGGATCTCGTCAAATACTATTGTCACAATTATTCCTTAAATGGAATTAAATTATTTTTATTCGACTCGGTAAATAATTCTGAATAGTAGGTCGATTTCGAAATACTTTTAAATCGTAGAGAATGCATTTCATAGTTTCAAAACAATTAAGTTAAAAACTAATGAACTTTGTGCTGACTCGAGGATTTGGGAAGAGTTTTGCGAGACGGCAAAAAGGTGGTCGTAATCGATCACAGAAAAAATAATTGTGGTCAATAAAATATAAAGCATAAAATAAATACTTATAAATATTTCTGAAAATAAAATATGAGAAAATAAAAATTGTGACTGCTCCATGACAATGAGGTAATGACCCCAAATTTTATTATCATGATATCGATTCTTTATTATATATTTTGAGTCCTTTAATTACGGACATCTAATAAACTTTTTGTGAATTTTTTATACATGGTGTTTTTATTATAACTAGTTTAGTTCTCTATACGGTAATTTAAGTCACCCGAGGTTCATCTTAAGTGGCGCAGATTCCTCCTAAACCAAGAAGTTATTCTGAGCCTTTTGAGATTAACATCAGCAAGAGCGCGCTTAGTGGAAGTAGGTGATTGTCTATTTTTACCTCTCAAGCCAAGCGAGGTCCCCTAATCACATTAAAAAGAATAATTACCACCCCCTAACCGTTAAGCGTGGCACTATTAAAAGTTTTTAAAACGGTCCTGATTTTCTGCTCACTCAAAATGACTATGTTTTATGATAGAGTCAATGGAGATCAAAACAAACGAATGTATAAACAAATATGGTGGATGTAATAATCAAAAGCAGCAAGAGTGATATGGTACCGGTTGGGAGAAGCATATGTCAAAATATCGATAAATGTAGCCAGAAAAAAAGAACAAGAAGATGAAAACGTATAAAAACCCCGAGTATTTCACAACCTAATACTGTCAAATTCACAAATTTGATAATCAATAAACAAACAAATTATTCATTATAACTTTTGTAATCAATTGTACACACGTGTATAATAAGACGGTGTCGATAGTTAACCTATAGTAAAAATATAAAAATTACTTAAATACACTTTTTTAACACTTTTTATCACAATATATTCACCAATTTTTTCAAAATAATAATGAAATTAAGGTTAAACTGATTCCTACATAAAAAAACAAACTTCATAAAACAGAAAGGGAATTAGGCATTCCAACGACTTGTCAAAATGCTAACAAGTAGGAACTGACGGTTTAGATATGGCAACCCTGTGGGCCTGTCGTCATTGACAGGTTCAATGATGCATATATAGTTATATAGATTGCTCAAAGCGGGTCGTTCATTAATTTGAATCGGTTTAGCAAAAATGTGGTTTTAAACTAATTTTAAGTCTTTGAATATAGTAAAAAAATAATTATTAACATTTTTACTTCAAGGCATAAGCTTATGTCTATTTTGAATAACATGAATGATCAACCAGGCCTACAGGGTTGCCATAATGTTGTCAAAATCCACTGGTAGCCATTTTGTTTGGAATGCCTAATTAATTAATTAATTATATAAATGTCATCTCTAGACACTTAATAACAGTTTTACCAATAATGATATTTTAAAAACTAATAATCGTCTGCTTAAGATGCAAATGGCCTAACTCCACTGAAAAACGCATAAACTTACGAAAAGGAAAAATGGAAGAGATCGTTACACTAAAAGTAACAAATAGTTTGCTTTTATATCCATTCGAAATTGGCCTATCTCCCGCTTATTCGAAAACAGTCCAATTTTGCTTTCACTTTCCAATTTATTTTTTGCATCTCTTGAATAATTTTGGAGTTAGGCCAGTTGCATCTTAAGCCGACGTAATACAATAAACATATTAAACGAAAAAACTTAATTTTAAGTTTTGAGGAAAGAACTAAAGATTATCAAAAAAATGGCGATTTTTATTAGAAATATCAATTAAAAATATTGCCATAACAGTAAGTCTTATCTCCTAAAACGGAAAAATATAATTCTCAAATCCGCGACATTTAAAAAGTCTGAATTAATGTTAAAAATAATTATTAAACGCCTAATTTGTACTATGTAATTAATAAGGCACGTCTTGAAAAAAAAAATGGCCAATGTACATTATGAATCGGGTTGTTTGGACTTAGCTTTCAAACATATCCGTTTGTGTTGTGCCCAATCCCCATTCTAAAAAAAAAAAATAATGATAGTCAAATTTTTGAAATAAATTGAAATATCGTTACCTTAATTAGCAAACCTCGTAACACCACTTTTGCCAAATTCACATTTTCATGCAATGTGAAGAAAAAAAAAACTATTACGTTTCAAACCTTATAAATCCAGAATAATATTATTCTGAGTTCTGGATTTATGAGGTTTGAAACATCCCAAGTAGCACCGAACAGTTTTATTCAGTAATTCAAGGATGCTTTAAAACTGTAAAATAAAACTTGCAATTAAAACCAATTAGTTTTAAAAGGAGCCTTAAGGTTGTAGTAAATACGCCTTCAACATAAAAGAGCCCACTCTGAAAGAGGTCAATAAAACCAAAAATAAAAACCACCATAAAACTATATTACCTTTAACAAGTTATTTTAAAGCTGCTGTGAAGACTCTTTTAAAACCACTTTAAATACATTTTAAACACACGCGGTTTTGAAGTATATTGGTAACATGTATACTTTTAAAGATAATTTATCTTATTGTGTAACGGTTGGAACCGTTTTCGTTATTTTGACACAAACATCTCTACTCAAATGTCATTTGTCGTTTATGCCTTGTGTCAAAAGTTCATATTTCACTTGATTCGAATATATCAACCAGATCACATTCATTTCAAAATATCTGAGTCATCCGATGTACTAAATAATTTTTATCTATCGTATATTCCGTCTGATTTAATAAGGTAAGATTTAATACCGATATATTGTTGAAAATATATATTTTGTACAAAAATTTCTTAAATGAAATGTAAAATTTTAAACATAACCTCAACACATAAATAACACACATGGATAACACGTTTTATATAATTTTATATATTATTTTGTTTGGAATGAGATATTATGCTTTACTATGTTTGAATATGTTAAATAAGATTTTTCCTTTTCATATTAATTTTAGTCTCTGTGAAATTATTCACTTAATAGTTTTAAATTGTTCATTTAATAGTTAAAGGCATTTTATCTGGGTCCTGTGCAAATTTCCTATTTCCTTTCTTAACATTTTTACCTTTTCCTTTTAGCATGGCTATATCTAGACGGTTTATTTCGAGTTATATCTAAAACTGTTTATGGAGATTTAAGTTTATGGAGATTTGTATCTAAACAGTTTATTCGGTTTTATATCAAGAAGTTTATGGAGATTTATACCTAAGAGTTTGGTGCCATCTGAAGACCGAGGTTTGGTTCACCTATAGAAGATCGTTCAAGTCCAGAATTAAGAATAAGGATCCCGAATCCCTTAGAAGAAGGCCTAGAATTCATGCAAATCACACTCCTAATTTAATTAGCTCCTGTTAACAACAGATAAGTCTTTATTTTTTTTAAATAAATCATCTAAATTTGAATTAAGTAAATCTCTGTGAATTAGAATTTGTTACTACCTTATCTAAAACTTGGTTTAAATATAATATCTTAATGGTTAGATATATTTTTATCACTAATCATCACTAATCTATAGTCAAGTATAGTAAGTTTTAAATATAGTGGTGCCCAACCTGGCCCACTCCCAAAATCAATTGAGCTTAAAACACTATAACAAATAGATAAAATATCAAGTATCACGTTACACAATTGTTAACATATGAAAATAGTTTTTTAAAACTATATACATAATTCTTTTAGCAAATAAAAGCAAATTATATTTGAAGATGATAATATGGTGACGCTCTAACCATGAACTATAAAATAATAAAAAGTAAGGTAGTAATTTCGGAATGTCAGGGTATAAATATATACTGCGTACCCGACTTTATCGATAAATGTTAATGAAAAAGTCTTAAAAAACTTAGGGGCCTTAAAATTTCTGAAGTTTTATAATCCAAAAAAACAAAATTGAAAAACATAAATTAGAAAGAAAAATAATTTTATTTATTATTTTAGATTGTTCTGCATTAAAAGAAATCGAAATTATACGTTTAAGTCATGGATTCCACCATCCAAATTAAATAAAATCGTTTAGTTAGTGGACATGGAAACGTTAAGATCAAAGGGTTTTATTTAATCTTTGTTTTATAATGTTCCAAAAGCGCATACCCTAGACAAAAGAAAGGTTCGCTTGTGATTTAAACGGTTTAGTTTTAATGCGGCTGTGATAAATGCCGCTCGGTTTTAACGTAAACCTAACTTTAAAATCTCCGTGTCATATCGCAGTCGTTTGTGTTTGGTGTATTTTTAGATTAATAATAATTAATTTCAGTTTTTTTAATTATTGTAGGTACACCCCTGTTTGACATGATACAAAATGCGGGGTTTATTTGGGCCACGTAAAAATAGGGGATGAGTTTAATTTTATTGTTTCTAACAAGAAGTACAGTTTTAGTCTTTACGATAACCAAATTGATTTAGTTAAGAGCGTTCCGTTTTAATATAGCTATCTAATTGCAAAAACTAAAACGTCACAATCTAGAACATAATAAAACCAAACAACCTGAAGGCCCTTCATAAAACTAAGTAGTTTTAAAATTAATTGAAACTAAACCATTTTAAAACTACAAGACAAACAAACTTTTAAGATTAATTGCCCTTATTAGCGAATCTTATTAGATACTTTAAAACCAGTATTAAATGCTAAACGGCTTTTAAGTGGCCGCCGTATATCTACAAAGTAACTTTAAAACCAGTATCTTTTTATTTACCACATTAAAACCATTTTAAAACTGAAATAAACCCAAAATGTTTTTATGGTGCTACTTGGGATGTAATAGAGGTTTTTTCTCTACAAGAAAATGTGAATTTGGCAAAAAGTGGAGTTACGAGGTTTACTAATTAGGGTAACGATATATGGTATGGATTAAAAATAAAGAAATTTTTTTATACCTGACACAAATTGCTGCAATACATGGCCAAACGACATTCACAAACATATTCAGCTGGCTGTTCGCATATGCATAATCTTCCGTGATACACTAATTCGCTGTATTCAACCTAGAAACAAACAGATTAACGTTGTAAAAATAATATTATACAAAAAAAGAAACGTATTTGATAGGAAAGTGAAAAATTCAAAATTTTTGCAAGATTCGAACCTGCTATATCTAGCCTACCAGGCTAACGCCTTAACCTCCCAACCATCAGAGCAACAAGCCTACTGAGATCGAGACGTTAATTTGATTCAACTCCAAACCAGTACACAAAGATTTGTTTTAATTGTTCTTAAGTCAACAAACAACACTGTGAATAACGTCACGCAAATGCGTGATGTTTGCGTTGATTATATCACCCATAGTATAGAAGAATATGTAGAAGATAAGATTTTGCATAGTTTAGCATTTCAAATACTTTGTTTATATAAAAGTAGTTCCTAATTAATATTCAAGCCATTAACATATATTTTTATTGCAATTAAGTAAAATAAAAGTTTTTAAAAAATCATTTTCGGTTCGAGATTTCATTCCTGGCGCAGTCAGTAGGATAATTCGGGATCGTGCCGAACAGATCGATTTTTCGTGTTACCGATTAGCCGAATTATGAACTTTCAATTAAAACAAAAAACTGTTGGTGAATAATTTCACAATCTATTGGTGATTAATTGTGAAGGTTGTTTAGAAGACTTCAAGACTTGGAACACACATCGCCCAAAACTACAAGATTTACGGACTGGTGAAGACAGCATCGCAGATTCAGTGACGTTAATAATAATAATTACTCTTTTATTGTAAATACAAATTATGGCAGATTTTACTTTTGAAGAATTAGAGAAACGTTTATTACAATTAAAAATGGATTCACCTTCAACTGATTTAGATTCAGATGCTAATCCAACAGTAGCAACTAATTTACAAGAAGTAACAAATAATTTTCAAGAAGGAACTAATAATTTACAAAAATCTGTATGGCTTTCAAACCTGAATTTCTTAATTGTATACCTGAATTCGACGGTAATCCTAATGATTTAAGCAGATTTTTAACAGTGATTAAATCTTTGCTTACACAATTTTATGATAGAAACATCCAGAACATTAAATTGAATTCAATTATTTCAAAATTAAGGGAAGATAATCCCCATACCAGTTCACGATAAGTAAGCATTAGATAATGACTTGGGAGAACGCTAAAAAAGCAAAAGTGGCATCCCTACAAGTTAATTTAGTACAAGAACTTATGGAAGATGACTTTGATAAACGAGTTGAATTCTGTAAAATTATAATGGACAAAAGCAACAGAAATCGAATGTTTTTAAAAAATATACTTTTTTCCGATGAATCTATATTTTTACTAAACGGTCATGTCAATCGTCAGACTCGGTATTGGGCTACCAAAAATCCACACTGGATCATACTCAATCCCCAGAAAAAGTGAATGTTTGGGCGGGAATAATAGATAATAAGACTATTGGGCCGGGCCATACTTTTTCGAAGAAACCTTAACAGGTCCACGATATTTAGAATTTCTTCAAAACTTCTTGATCCCCGAATTAAATCGATTGTTCTCAAACAGAAATGATTTATGGCTACAGGAAGACGTTGCGCCTCCACACTATGCTGTCTTGGTGTGAAACTACTTGGACATCTTCCCAAATCGGTGGATAGGTCGAAGAGGATCAATAGAATGGCCTCCTAGGTTACCCGATTTACCTCCTCTTGATTTATTTTTATGGGGATACTTGAAAAGTAAAGTGTACCAAAATAGACCACAAAATATCAATGATCTCAAATAACGGATACGTATTGAGATTGCAAACATAACTCCGAAAATTTTGGAGAACGTCCAAGAAGAGATCGCTGCACGTCTTTCCCATTGTATTTTGGCGTGAGGGTCAACAATTTGAGCACTTGATATAGATTTGGTTGTATTTAATGAATAATAATGATATTTATTGTACTAATAAAAGGCAATACGTCGGTGGAGGACATTTTGAAATTTAGAAGAATATTTTTTAATTATTTTGCTGTGAAATTGTCATTAAATTCTTTTTTATTATTATTATTTTGTTAGATTAAGCACTTAATTACAAATAATTAACTTTCGTTCAAAATAAAATTTATGTGTCTGATCTTTAAATGACTTTTATTCAAAAAAATTGTTATGTAAGATATTTCAAATATTATGTTTCCGAGTAGGAAATTGCAAGACCTATCAAAATCAAGAAAAAAAAAATTGGGGTTACTATTTAAAAAAATTGCCAATGACGTCACTGCCTAAAAAATGGGAAGTGGGGGAAACTTGAATTCTTTTTAAAAAATTGTGCGTTTAGTAAACAAAATTGACCTGTCCGAGCATTTTTTCGAAAAACCAACTACTTCCATTATAATGAATTTATTCCGTTCATTTGAAATATACTGTGTATTAAATTTGTTATGTAGTTATGTTAACATACATAAACTAATAGACGCCGCAAAAAATTTGAAACGAATATTATATCAAAATTTAACATTAAAAACATTTTTGTCAGGAAACCAACCATACTTAGTGAGGCTTTGCAATTTGTTTTGGAAGAAGCTAATTCTCGCAATTTTCAAAATGAAAATCCTTCTCACAATTTCCAAAATCAAAATTCTTCTCGAAATTTACTAGTGCAAAATACATTCAGAAATTTTTCAAGACCTAATTTCACTCGGAGACTAAACTTCCATTATAATAACAATAATTATGTTCCACCAAATCAAAATACAAAACTTTTCAAATACTTTTAACACACCTAATGATTTTTTCTACAAAGAAATAATTTTCCGTCTCAATCTTTTAATGTAAATTCAAGACACATATACATTATACACTAAAATAAATAAACATAAAAAAGACTATGTCGAAAAAATTAATACAGACCGTGAAGACCCCAAAATATTTGAACCTTTTACCTTTTCAAGTTACCTGTATACTGTAACATTTTAAAATTCTTTTAAAATGTTATTTTGAATATGTGACATCCTGTATAAAATTGGTACTAAAATAAATTTAAATTGATTTATCGCCGCACGCAATATTCCTGATAAAGGGATATTTCGCGAAATGGGAGTTTTATTTGGTCAGTAGATGTCGGGCCATTTCTATAAATTCATTTTAACATCATTATCGTTGAATTATCTACAAGTGTCTTTGGCTGCGACTAGCGGTGAGTTATTAATGTCATTAAAAAAAGATCTGAGTAGAAATCATATTTCTACTTTTTTTGTTAGTTATAAGTTTAACTTTTGAAAATCAATTTAGATTTATTCAATATGGTTTAGTAATTCCTTTTGTGTTGCTGGAATTACACATTGTATTAATTTTTTATTGTCTACAATTTTTAAAAAAATAATTTTTTAAAAGTTTGAATTATATCTCATACAAGAGCCTCGTGAATCTTATTTTCAAAGGTTACAACAATTTTCTTTTTACTTAAATTTTATATAATTTTGAATTGTCTTTTTTATAATTCTCAACTAGTTTTACAAAAAAAGAGAATTAATGGCGCCCTTTCTTTCCGGAAAACGATTTCCCCAAAAGCGTCTATTAAGAAAGCCTAAATTCATAAGTGTTTATAAATAGTTATTTATGCAACAAGTGCAAAAAGTAATTGTTTATTGCACGCGACGTCCAACGAGGCCGTTAGGCCGAGTTTGACAACACGTTGAGTGCAATAAACACTTTTTGCACGAGTTGCATACAATATTTTTTCTACGTTCATGAAAAAACCAAAGAATGTTTTATAGAACTGCAGTTGTTATTATCCAAATCATAGTAGCCGTGATCGTGTACCTTTGTTTGAGGCATTTATTTACGTTTGTGTTCATAATTTGTAATGACATTTTTAATAAAATACATTTTTTTATTAATTTATTTATTAAATGATTGAAAATAATATAAAATATGCACTTGTTTTTAAAACGTAACACAGATAATGAAAATGGACTAAATATGTGGCATTCATTTGAATATTTATGTTTGTCATGTCATGATCATAAAACGCTGTAGTAAAATGACAGATGAGTGCAATAAAATTTTTATTGCACCAGTGCAATAAAGAACCAGTTTTTTCACTAAATATAGTTCAATAAAGTTTTGTTTTTTGCATGAACAGAGAAAAAGGTAATTTAACGTTAATTATAACAATTATTCCAAATAACGAATTTTATTACAAATTAACGCCAGACATATTGCATTACTAGGACTACTAGACACCATAATATTATTTTGTCTTAACATCTACGTATAATTCGACATACCTGTGGAGATGGAGAGCTCTCTATGCCGCTATCGGTCGGAGAAGATGCCTAAAAAAATATTAATTTATATATACTTGAAATACTCGCTAACCTGTAACTTTTCGGTAAACCAATTGTGACAAATACGCTCGAATTATTACTCGAAAAAAAAAAATGTATTTTGGTTTATCAACCGAAATAATTTACTAGTTACTAATGTAAAAATACTATTACTACAATTACTTTAAAGAACACGCATCCACATACTAAATGTCACAAAAGTACTAGTTTACGTCTACATTTTTAATGACATCACGGCTTCAGAATCTCTGTACGCGGCTGTTTTTTATTTAGAAATTTGCCAGTTTTTACCATGGTCGCCATGATAGGTAAAATTTGGATTGGTACGATAAGTGGCATAGTATGTGAATAGGAGTTTTGTCCTCCTCTTTACATATTCTACATAGGGAGTCATCAGATATCTCTAAGTGATTTAGGTGTCTTCTAAGGCCGCAGTGTCCCGTAAAAAGTCCTATTACGGTTTTGAGTTCGCTTCCGCTAAAGTTTAACAGTTGATTTTGTCTGCTCATATTTTGGACTAAGTCCAGAAAGTTCCAACCAGAGCCTATGGTGTTCCCTATTTATTTGTTCCTTTAGCACCCATTTAACATGTAGGTATGAAATACCGCATGGGGGTTCTGGTCTAATAGAGTTTTTTCCTCTCCTTCCTTGCTAGGTCTGCTTTCTCATTTCCAAACACTCCCTCATGTCTCGGCACCCATTCAAGGGTGACCTTGTTATGTTCTGCCAGGGCCTGGAGGGACTGTTGACAATCGAGTATTAATTTAGATTGTACTTCTACTGTTTTTAGTGCTTTAAGAGCTGTCTGACTGTGTCATGATAAAGACACTCTTATCTTTAAAAGAGTCATTTAGCATAACTTTGGCGCTGTTATTTCAGCCTGGAAGACTGTTGTCAGTGACCCCAGGTTCAGACTAATGGTCCTCCCTGAATTTACACGGTAAATCCCAACTCCTGTGCTGTTTTTCATTTTCGAACAGTCTGTATACCAGATTGATTCGTTTTGTTTTCCCCTATTTTCCTGGCTTTTGGCTCTTTCTGGTATTTGAATATGAAAAGGTTTCCTCAAGTCATGAATAATAGGCGCGTTCTATCCGATGGAATTCTTATTATCGGATTTTGTTTTAATTTCTCTAATATCTTTGTGTGTTGTCCTTTTCTCAAAAGTTTCCATCTAAATCTATTATTAAACAGCCTGTATGCCGCCGCCATAACCTTCATCTCCTTGTGATGAAGACCTAGCAGTAGCTTCATTGCTTCAGTGGGTGTAGTTCTAAATGCCCCTGTTATTATTAGACAGGCTAATCTTTGTATCTTGTCTAATTGTCTGTTAGCTGTTATGCTTTTAGTCTTGTGCCACCATATGACTGATGTAAGTTATAACAGGTACTACAACCAGCCAGTATATCATACTTGGTTTAAGCCCCCATGTGTTCCCTATCATTCGTCTACAGGCTCATAGTTTTCTTATAGCTTTTTTGTTTTATCTATATGGCTGCAGAAGCTAAGCTTGTCATCAAGAGTGATTCCAAGATAGTTTACCTCTTTTGCCATTTTTAAATGTTGTCCCAACATATAAAGCTCCTTCATTCCTTGAATGTGAATGCAACAACAGAGGTTTTTGTCGGGTTTGTGGACAATCTCTTAGGCACCATAAAAGTTGTTGCCTGGGTAATGAGATTTGAAAGCTCGCATAAAGAAGGATAGCTATATTATTGCCAGATTTGGAGATTTGTCACTTTCAGAAATTACCCCAAATTGAAAAAATTGTGCCCATTCGTAGACCCAGATCATTTAATAAGGTTAACCACAAAAATATCAGACAAGGAAGATACGAGAAGTTTTAGACACCCTATCATTTTACCCTCCAAACATCCAATGGTTCAGAAGCTAATTTCATATGAACACAAACGATTGTGTTCAATATTAAGAGACAGATTAAGTGGTAGAAGAACTGTACGATCAGTGCTTTCCAAATGCGCCGTATGTAAACGTTTCGCCATGAAGGGCTTGGAAGTGCCACCTATTCCCTTACCGTTAAACAGAGGCATCTGTTTTTGAAATATTGGAATAGATTTGGCTGGACCTCTATATATTCGAACTGCAGAAAAATGTTGGATATGCCTTTTTACTTGCTCCATATACAGGGCCATACATTTAGAGCTAGTTTTATCATTATCAACAGATTATTTCCTCAGGCATTTCGTAGATTCGTAGCAAGAAGAGGTCGACCTATAGTGGTTTATAGTGATAACGCTACTAATTTTGTAGGTGCAGAAAATGCGTTAAGTAAGTTAAACTGGGATAATATTCATTCTTATAGTTCAGCACAGAGGATAGAATGGAGGCACATATCACCAAATGAGCTTTGGTGGGGTGGCTGGTGGGAAGTGCTTATTAAGTTAGTTAAAGCTCTATTAAGAACTTGTTTTGGGAAGAGCTTCGTTAACTCTAGAATAACTAAACACTGTTCTTTGCGACTGTGAGGCGGTCATCAATTCGAGACCCTTAACTTACCTCGGAGAAGATAATCAAGATCTTGTTGGCCTAACACCAGCAATGTTTCTTCCAAGATATTAAGGAAGTTGGTGTTCCAGATATAGATGTTGTAGAACGTTTTAATTTAAGGAAACGATATCGATACAAATTAAAAATTAAAGTAGATTTACGTCGTAGATTTCGAAATGAGTCCTTGGAAAATTAGCGTTGTTCAATTGTAACAAATCAGAATATAAAATAGAGGTTGGCGATGTAGTTCTGATCGAAAATAATCATCAAAAGCGTCTGGATTGGCCATTGGCTTATGTTAAAGAGGCGATACCTGGATGAGATGGAAAAATCAGACTAGTTAGACTGAAAACTGCATATGGTCATTTGATTAGACCACTCCAAAGATTATACCCTCTGAAAATTAAATCTAAAGAAAAAGAATCGTTACTTTCTAATAAAACATTACAGAATGATGCATTTCAAGATAAAATTTCACTTCCAGAAATCCACGCCTGTGCATAGATCCCAGTAATGAAGTCGAATTAAAGGATCCTTCTATATCTAGGAAAACTCCTAATGCCATGTCTTTGCTTTTCACTGCTTATTCGGCCTGTTGAGCTAACCTATGTATGGCTGCATCGCAAGACTTTCCAGATTGGTAGGCAAACTGGTATCGATGTATCGGTTTATCCCGTAGAACATCGTCCCATATATATCTATCGATCAATTTCTCCAATATTTTTAGGAAGAATGATGTTAGGCTGATTGGTCTGAAAGATTTGGTCTCCGCATAAGACGCTTTACCGGGTTTGGAAATGAAGACAACTCTTGCACACCTCCAGCTTTGTGGAACATATCCGAGGGCTATCCTACCTCGGAATAGTTTACACAGTGGTCCCTCCAGTACTTCCTGGCCCTTTTGTGGAAGCGCCGGGATTATACCATCATGTCCAGCTGTCTTGTATGGTTGAAAAGAATTTATCGCCTACACAAACTTTGTTATGTCTACTATTGAGTTTGCAAGAGACTACTTTGTTTTTGAGGCCCTATAAATTAGTGCCTCGATAATCTTGTTCTCTTGGTCAAGAATAATCTCACATCTAGGAAAGTCTTTCCTCTGTTTTTGTGAGTTCTCTCTGTAGAGTTTTCCTGAGACTGGAATATTTCTGGAAGGCTCTCAATGCCGTCACAGAATGTCTTCCATTAATTTTCTTTGGCTTTCCTAATGGCATAACCATATTCTCTTCGGTACGCCTTATAGGCTTCCCAGTTCCCCGACCTTTTGGACAAGTTAAAGAGTTTACGAACTTCTACTCTTTTATTTTGGAAAGGTCTCTATTCCACCATACAGCATCTCGATCTTCTTTCCTTATTTTTATAGGGCAGTTTTTTTCAAACGTATTGGTTAAGGTTTGTTTCAGAAACTCTGACATAAACTCAACTTCCACAAGGTGTTACAATTAAGCCATCGATATGTAAAATCTTAAAATTGTTCTATAAAAAATTGATTTTCAGCCAAAATATGATTTGAAAAAGTAGAATTATTTTTGTTTTTTATACAATTATTGTAATGTTCTGAATAGTGTTTTTTGAAAGTACGACCCGTTTGATCAATATACAATATTTAATTTATACACTCCCGATTTATTGGGATTTATTTTGTATAATTCTGTAATTTTACTTTGTAAATACATTTGATATGACAATAATTATGCTAAATTTGACCTAACACGGCGACGATTATAACTGAGGTCGAATATTTGACACGGGCCTGACTTCAGAGATTCTAAAGTCCGCGAATAACATCCTAAACACTTTAAATGTGACGTTAGACGTTTAAAGTTGATAAAATTGCATCACAAATTGAAAAAAATTAATCTCATAGTTAAATTGACTTACAAAGAATCCCGTAATAAGTTGGCAATTATGTGGATAACAACGTTTAAAATGTTTTTTTTTTACTAAAATAAATAATTTTACACAATACGATTCCTGTTTAATATTTCGATAGTTTGAAGCTGTATATTAAAAAAAATTGTGAACGTACATGTCAACTAACCAATGCCAGAGTCTGAAGGGCTCGGTGGATCCCATATGGATCTAGAGGTCCCAACGATGTGCGCCTGGATCAAATCATAAAACACTTTAACAAAAATCTTAATAAAGTTTTAAGTATTCCTAACAAAACATTATTATAGTATATTATTTGATGAACATTTCTTGCGAGTTGAACACTATACTTTTTCTACAGCTATAACACCTTGCTAGACATTTTTAATTAAAATGACAGCTCTCTTACTGATGATTTGACATTTCATGCCACACATTTTATTAAAATAATTAGAAAATGGCTACTTTGTGTTATCAGATAAGGATATGGTACTGAAATGATTACTTTGTGTTGTTAAAATTATCAAATAAGGAAATTGTGCTGTCATATCTTAATCAACAATAGTTAAAAAAGTTAAATTTTGTATTATAGCCATAGAAAGAGCATT